GAGGAAAAACATCCACTGAGTCCACACAATGAACTGATTTCATTCTAAGTCCTCCGTTGGGGTAAGCAGCCTGGTTCTTACTATCATGGACAATCCAAGGTTCAGAGAAGCAAAGTAGTTTGGGCAAGGCCACTCAGCGAGGAAGAAAAGTTGAAGTTGGTATCTCAACTCAGATCTGCCTGAAAACAGAGTCCTGTGTTTCCATGCACCTCCCGAACAAAAGGACTGAGCCTGAGCATCGCTGGGATGCTCAAGCATCCCAGGGCAAGCAGGGCCAGCCAGACTGGGAACCTTGGCTGGGGATCCCTGCCCAGAGGCGCGGCGGCAGCTGTGGGCACAGGAAGAAGCAACTAGCTCCCCCGCCCTGTGCTCTGCGAGCTGCCCACCAGATACATAATAGATGAGGAGGCCCAGCAGGCTGGGCCCACCTGGCATTTCAGAGCCACTAATGAGGCCAGCCTCGTGCTTCCTGCAGCAGCACACAGGCCCCCGGGAGCCTCTGGCTCAGAGATGATAGAAAGGAGCCCCCTGAGGACAGGGACCGCCCATTCAAGCCCCCCACTCCGCAGCCGCCAGGAGAGCTGGGGCTAAATGTATGGGCTCAGACTGACTGTGCTGCCAGTCTTGGTTCACCCCTCACTCACTGTGCCCGGGGACAGCCAGGTCCCCTCTTGGAGCCTCAGTTTCCTCATCTGTAAAATGGAACATGGACAGTAACAGTCTCTACATTGTAAAACTGGTGTGAGGACAGAATGAAATAATTCAAACGAAGTTCTCAGCCCAGGGCCTGGGACCCAGAAAATGCTTCATATATGGGAGCAGATGGTACCGTTACTGCCATGGGATCTCAGTAACCAGATGGGCCTTCCTGGGGGGGACACACGAGGCCAGGCAGTGACCCCTGTTTCAGAAGTCCTCAGGATCATCTCACTCTCCATCTCCCCTCCTCACCCCATAACCAGGATTTCTCTCATTTCTGTGGCTTCCATGTCTCTGGCCAACATACTTCCTTGGCAGGAGGAAAAGCTGGTCTCAAATCCAGCCTTTGCCGGGTGTGTGACTTTGGGCCAGTCTTCAACATCCTCAGTCTTGGCTTTGACCTTCAAAATGAAGACGCTAAGGCAACTTTCAGGACCATCATCATGACTTAATGAGACCACCGGAGCAAAATGTCCAGCACACACAGGCACTTAATCCTTGCCAAGTCCTGCCTCCTCCTCCCAGGGTCCCAGCTTTTAGGTTAAAGCTGACGCCCCTCTTCTCAGGGTATTTCCAGAACCTTCCTTCCCTCTTCAGCCCTGCTCAGATATTCCCCAACTCTGACACTGCTCCACCCCACCCCATCATCTGAAAGTGCAAAGTGAAAAAGGGCAAGTCGCTCAGTCGTATCCAACTCTTTGCAACCCCATGGACTATACAGTCCATGGAATTCTCCAGGCCAGATTACTGGAGTGGGTCTCCTGCATTGAGGCGGATTCTTTACCAGCTGAGCCACCAGGGAAGCCCAAGAATACTGCGGTGGGTGGCCTGTTCCTTCTCTAGCAGATCTTCCCAACCCAGGAATCGAACCGGGGTCTCCTGCATTGCAGGCAGACTCTTTGCCACCTGAGCCATCAGGGAAGCCTCCATGTTTAATGTCCATTATGGCTGCAGCCCAGAGCCAGGTTAATCCGCTACTCTGGCTGGACGCCAGAGCCACTACACAGACTCCTAATCCTCACACTGGGCCTCATGCCTTCAACACTTGCACACTTGCGTGTGCCTCCACTGCAGACTGCTAATGAGGGGCAGAGGGTAGGGGAATCCAGCTATGATCACACCTGGCCTCTACCAGGCTTCACTGCTCACTTGATCCAAGCTCCTAATTCTTAATCTTAAAAAAAAAAAAAAGGTGGTGGAAACCTCACCTCCTCCAGGAAGCCCTCCTAGCCTACTTGACAAGTTTTCACCTGTTCCATTCTCTGGACACATTCAGTTCAATCCCACAAACATTCATTAAGCGTTTCCTGCATTCAGGTAGCTGGGCAAGACTGTGTGGAGGACAGAGAGATGAGAAGAGTACAGCGCAGCTTTTATGGGATTCATGTCGAAAAGTGGGCCTAAGTAAAAAGTAACTCAAGCACCTCTGCTTTCAAGGGCCTCAGAGCCTGCCTGTGGCACAGTGTTACATGCGTACTTTCAGCACAACTGAGGTCAACTCACTGAAAGACCCAAGTCAGCGAATACTGTGGAGCAGCAAGTAGGACTCCAAGAAGGGAAGTGACCTGCTCAAGGTCTCACCGCTAGTATGTAGCGGAGGCAGGGTCAAGCCCACGTCTGTCAGACTCCGAAGGCCATGCTTTTTCCACTGCCCCAGGAGTGAGCTTATAGAGCACGTGCTCTATAGCATGATAAGCAGCAGAAAGGTGTTCAAGGAGAGAGAGGGGCGGGTGTGGCGATCAGGAAGGAAACACTCAACAAACTGACACAGGTGAGCTGGGGACTTCTCCGGTGGCCCAGTGGCTAAAACTCTGCGCTCCCAGTGCAGGGGGTGAAGGTTCGATCGTTGGATCCCACATGCCACAACTAGGAGTTGGCAGCAAGTGAAAGTGAAGTCACTCAGTCGTGTCCGACTTTTTGTGACCTCATGGACTGTAGCCTACCAGGCTCCTCCGTCCATGGAATTTTCCAGGCTGGAGTACCGGAGTGGGCTGCCATTTCCTTCTCCAGGGGATCTTCCCGACCCAGGGATTGAACTCTGGTCTCCCTCATTGCAGGTGGATGCTTTACCGTCTGATCCACCAGGGAGGCAGCCAAATAAGTATTTTTTTAAAGGAGGCCTTGAGGAAACACGAGAGGAAGGCAGGTCAAGGGGAGGGTACAATGTGAGCAGAAGCCTGGAGGTGGGGCTCACGGGGCCACATTCTCATTAATCAGAAACACAGCGCATAAGAGAAATGAGTCCCAGGCTGGAAGATGAGGCAGAGACAGGCCTTCAATGCCAGGAAATCACAATTAATAGTCAAAATGACTGCCCATTTACAGAGCGCTAACTCTGCCCAGGCACGGGCTGGAGGTGAAGCAACTGGCTTGGCGATGGGGGAAGGGAGGGCCCAGGGGCCAGCACCATGGACAGCAGCTCCGGCAGGCGCGGGTGGGGCAAGGCATCGTGGACGATGGGCGAGTCCTGGTCCTCCCAGAACCCTGCTTTGTACATGTGTCAGCTGAGGCCCAGAGAGGGGAAGGGACTCGCCCAAGGTCACACAGTGTTAGTTACTCTCACTCCTAGACCTTCATCTCTGACTCTTCATTCAGGCCTCCCTGGAATGAGCTTTCTGAGTCACTCCTCCGGCTCCAAATCGCCCCTCGAGTGCATCTATCAGGTCTGCCCTTTGGCCTGGAGGTCCTAGGGGTGGAGCGAGTGAAACTCTGGGTTCTGCACAGAGCCTGGAAGATGGAGATTCAAATCCCAGCTCCGCCACCAACTAGCCACATGAACTCGGGAAGTCCCTTGCCCCCTCTGTGCAGCATGATCTCATCTGTAGTTAAAGCCAACCGTCCCTGCCTCAGAGATGCGGTAAAGATCGTGTGAGGTGATGTGGGTCAAGCACTGAACCGGACCTGGTGTACGGTGGGTGCTTGACAAACGGCAGTTGTTGGGACACTATTATTGAACTCCTTGCAGGAACAGCCATTTTCCTCAGCTCCACCCATCTCTCTCCCCACCCTGTCCCTGCTCTGGGCTTGGCATATGGTCTGGCACATGGTGGAGGCTCCAACTGACTTTGCACATAGGAGACGCCCAGCAGCAGGAGAGAAAACCCAGAGAGGGAAAGTAACTGACTCCAGGCGGCAGAGAACGTCAAAAGAAAATGAAAGGGCAGGCCCTGACGCTCAGCCTGGGCGCCCCCTGTGCCTCCCACCCCAGGTGTGGCTCCCTAGGGGGTCTCTGGCAGCAGGTAAGGCAATGGGGCCATTGGGAAAGATCCAGCAGCTGGGGGGCACTGCAGGGCCAGGGGACCCCTGGAAGCCCTCAGCAGGGGCGGAAAGCAGGAGCCAGAGCAGCTGGGGGCTCTCCTGCCGGAGCTGAAGCGGCGTCCTGGGGAGCCAGGAGGCACCCGCCTGCAGGGGCGCTGGGCGGGGGGCTGTGAATCCCGAGGTGTGGCTGCACCTCCACCTACTGCTCACAGTGTTGGGGAAGCTGTGACACGCCTTCCTCCAGAAAGAGGCAGCCTCAGACACAGGAAATGGGTTGGAAGAGGGGGTCCCGAAGGCTCTGTATGGAGTGGGAGAGGGGAGAGGGTTTGAGGGTCAGTGGGAAGGTTAAAGGCATCTCCAGCCCAGCCAGGAGCCACCATGAGACAGGAGGCATAGAGAAAAGGAAGGAAGCCCTTTCGCTGCGGGCCTACACTACACCAGGCCCCGCTTTGACTTTTTTTTTGGTACACTTTATTCTCTATTAAATAGGCATGTTAACCCCCATTTCACAGATGAGAACACTGAGGTTCAGAGAGATGCGTGACTTGCTGACAGCTGCACAGGCAGCGGCAGGCTGAGATTTAACCTGACTAGTCTCATTTCAAGGCTGAGCTCTAGAAAGAACTGCAGGGGAAAATACATGGGGCAGAGCTGGTGAGAGGGTCTGCCCATCCAACGCTGGCAGAGGATGTGGGGAGGGTCAGTGGGGCCTGGTCTGGTATCAGAGGGGGTGGTGATGGCTTGGGAGGGCTTCCCAGGTGTCTCAGGGGTAAATCCAGGTAAGTGGCTCATGAAAATCCAGCTGCCAATGCAGGAGACGGAGGTTCAATCCCTGGGTTGGGAAGACCCCTTAGAGAAGGAAGTGGCAACCCGCCCCAGTATCATTGCCTGGGAAATCCCATGGACAGAGAAGCCTGGCAGGCTCCAGTCCCTGGGATTGCAAAGAGTCGGACATGATTTAGTGACTAAACAACAACAAATGGCTGGGGAGTGTCCCAAACTCTCAGTCAAGCAGCCCAGTACTGAGGGCTCTCAGTACTCACCATGCACTCCGGCGAGGGGCGAAGGACTTGTCCACCCTGAAACACAACGAGAGCGGCGGCAGGTAAGCCAGCAGCCCCGTCTTACCAGGCCTGGCCCAGCACATCAGGCCAACCCCTACCCACCCGGTCCCAGGACCTCACAGGGGCCTGGTGGAGGCACTGATGCTCTGGGACCGCCCACCATAGGTTGCAGGGGCCCTAATGCCACATTAGGGACGTGGGGTGTGGGGTGAGGAGGAAGGGAGGCAGAGCCAGGGGGAGACAAGCCCCCGGGGTCCAGGGGCCACCCCAGGCTTAGTCTCCCCTCAGTGCCTCCAGGCCCCACACCAGAGAGTATAGCGGCAGCGCGCCTCCCTGGGGACGCCCCACCGCCCTCCGAGGGCGCCCTGGGGTAGAGGACGGCTCAACCTTCCCACTCCACTGGGGCAGAAGGGCTCAGCAGCTGCTGGGACAACAAACAAGCCCTGCTTCCTGGGCCAGAGGGCAAAGCAGAAGGGGGAAGGGGCCCCAGATAGGACCCGCCATCTCAGGAGACACGAACTGGGGATGCAAGGCTGCGGTCTCCTGGGGACCACCTCGTGTGGGTGGGGCCCAGGAGGCCAGTGGAGCCAGGACTTGCCCAAGGTCACGTGACAGAGGGCAGCCCCGCGCCCCGCTGCCTCTCGGCGTCAGCTGGACCGGGAGGCCTTGGGCCGATCGCGGGTGGCTGGCCTGATGGCGCACAGAGCCCCCAGCCTGGAAGGCAGCTCTCGGGTCTCCCACCGCACCCGGCCCCTCTGCGGCGTCCCCGGGGAGGATGGGCGCCCAGAGAGGGGACACCATCCCTACAGCTCAGAGAGCCCACGGTCTGCAACGTTACACATGTGAGCAGCCCCGAGGGCTCTGCACCGGAAGGTGGGTCCCCATGTCCCTACGACCACAGGGAGGCAGGCCCTGCTGAAGGTTATGCAACTTCCTGGCCAGCCAGGAGAGGGATTCCGGCTGGTCTATCTCCCCAGACCCCTTCCAAGGTCCCAAACCTCCGCATAAAACAGGGATCCTCCTGGCCCAGCTCTGCACTCCTCTGGGGTGGACACTTGGGGTCAGGAGGAACAGTGACCCCAAGATGGACCAGGCACTCCAACTCTCCAGGCGCCCCCACCCAGGTCTCCAGCCAGCAGTCCCGGGAGGAGGGGTTCCTGAGAGCCAGGCAGACTGAGATGGGGCAGCCAGCCGGGGTGCCCAGGGGTTGGGGTCGGGGAGCTAATGGCTTCTAAGGTTTCCTCCTCCCAAATCCTCACTGCAGGGGCTGGGCAGCCTCAGGAGCCAAGTCGGGGGCCCCTGCAGGGCCTCCCCTGGACCTGCCTTTTCCCACCCCCCACTACCTATATGCACACGCCCTGCGTGCCCACACACAGGCCCGGCCCGCCGGTCCGCGCACACACACAGTCAGACACCTACCACTGCCACGCATTAGAGACACACACAGGAATGCCACAGGGCACTTGCGTCCGCGCACGTGCACAGGGGTATCCAATCGGAAGACGCACACACACACACACACACACACACACACACTCGCAGACTTACCAACACCGCAAGTTACGGCCCAGACACCAAACCGCTCACCTCACACATCCACACAGGTTCACAGCTCCAGGCGCCCCCAGACCCGAGGCGGACGCCGGCGGCGCGCGCGCTCCCCCCCGCGCACCTACCCCCCGTAGGCCCCGAAGGTGAAGCTGCGCTTCCGGCCGCTCATGGTGCCGCCCGCTCCGAGCCCGAGCCGCTGCCCGCGCCCGGGTCACCTTGGCAACCCCCGGCGCCCCGCCCCCGGCCACAAGCCCCGGGATTGTCCGCGCCCCCGCGGGCTGCGGGCCAGCTGTCCCGGGCAGCCGCGCGCAGAAAGGGCCGCTTGTTCGCGCCGCCCTCGGGCCGGGTGGGGGGACAGTGCGGGGGATTCGCTGGACTTTCCGAGCGGGGACCTCTGGGCGGGGAGGCGGGAGGGCCGGGCGGGGCCTCGGCGCTGGCGGAGGGGCGGGGAGCGGAGAAGACAAGGCCCGTCCTCCCCACCCCCAGACCCAGGACGAACCGGGTTGCACACTGTCTTCTGCAGGCGACACCCTCGTCCACCACCCCCTCCCACCAAGAGCGGAGCTGTCCCCCTGGTCATCACGAGGTGGGGGTGGGGGGAGCCCCGAGCGACCTGGGTCCAGAATTTGGAACGCAGGGTCAAAATGCTTTGCACTGTACCTCGATTTTCTCACCTGTTTACAATAGGACTCATTGGAAAAGTCCCTGATGCTGGGAAAGATGGAGGGTCAGAGAATGAGATCCAACCAGTCCATCCTAAAGGAAATCAGTCCTGAATATTCATTGGAAGGACTGATGGTGAAGTTGAAACTCCAATACTTTGGCCACCTCATGCGAAGAACTGACTCATTGGAAAAAGACCCTAATGCTGGGAAACATTGAAGGCGGGAGGAAAAGGGGGTGGCAGAGGATGAGATGGTTGGATGGCATCACGGACTCAATGGACATGAGTCTGAGCAAGCTCCAGGAATTGGTGGTGGACAGGGAGGCCTGGTGTGCTGCAGTCCACGGGGTTGCAAAGAGTCGGACACGACTGAGCAACTGAACGGAGAGGATGAGATGGCTGGATGGCATCACCGATGCAACGAACATGAACTTGGGCAAATTCTGGGAGATGGTGAGGGACAGGGAGGCCTGGTGTACTATAGCCCACGGGGTCGCAAAGAGTCGGACGTGACGGGGTGACTAAACAACAGTAACAACAAAACAGGACTAACCCCCTAGGGCCCTTGTGATGACGGAAGGAGTCCATGCGTGTGGAGCTGGAGGGCCAGGCCTGCTACAGGAAATGCTCAGTAAAGGCCAGCTGGGGAACCCTGCCCTATGGGCCAGGCTGCTCTCAATGAGTGGAGGAGGTAAGAGAGCCCGCCCAGTGGCCCTGCTATTACCCGCTCTCGGTCCCTGCTCCCAGGATCGCCCCTGTGCCCAGGTGAAGAGGAACAGAGCAGGAAGGGAGATGACCCAACCTCTGCTCAAAAATGCGTCCAGCCTGGGTTCCCTCCCTCAGCAGCCTTCGGAGAGAAACTGGGCCCCAAAACCTCAAGCCGGTCGTGCATTCAGTCAGCAGACACGGCGGGCCCCTCCTCTGCCCACAGCTCCCCCAGAGCTCAGGGTCCCCGGCCCCACCCACAGGAAGCTGTCTTTCCCGCCCTAAGAAAAGATGCGTCAGGAGGCAGGGGGCCTGACCCTGCCCCAGGACTCACCCACCCCTTCCGAAACACCCAGCTGCCTCCTACCCCCCACCCTGCACCCAGGGAGGCCCCAGAACCTTTCTATGGGGGTTTCTGTTCAAAGGGCCTGCAGTGGGGGGAGATGGGAGAAAGGACATCCCAGGACACGACCGCAGGGCGGCCAGGATTCTTCAGAGGGCCTTTCACCAACCATTCTGCTGGGCCTGGAGCCCCGGCTCGGGGAGCTGCATTTTCCGCTGGGAAACGGTGGCCCTGGAGAGAGGACTCCATGGCTTGGCTCGCCCTGGCAGGGGTGAGAGTGTGGCCATCTCCTCCTTTCAGATATGGATAAACGGAGACCCTGGCTCAGAGCAAAATGCCCCTCTCTTGGAGAACTCCCCCTGCCCTAGCCCTCCTCTCTGCCCCCACCCCAGAGTCCCTCTCCTCTCCACACTGGTGGGCGGGAGAACCCTCCGGAGCCCCCTGGGAGTTCAGAGACTGGGCAGGGACAGTGTGATTTTCCCAATCCGGGAACCATCCCCTTGGTTGGGTTCTCAGAGGAGGATCCCCTTGGCGGGGCGCCCTGGAGCTGGGGCCAGGCCCCTCCTGCTCTGGGCAGGGCTGCAGGTTCCTGGGCAGGGTGGGAAGCCCACTCCTCACGGGGCAGCCTGGTTGGGCTCCGGGAGGGCAACCCTAGGCGCACTGAGATTGCCCCGAAGAGGGAGGAAGTCTCCCTTTTCTCAGTAGTGGGAGCGGCAGGGCACCCCCAGAGCTGCAGGGGGTGGTGGAGGAAGCACTGGGCGCTGGGCCTGGGTCAGAAGGGCATGCACAACCTCAGGGCCGGGACCCGGGACCCCAGCACGATCCCAGGTGTGGCGCCCGCCTGGACGCAGCCCTCAGCCTCGCCACTCTCTTTTCAGTGGGAAGGCGTCCTCAGTGGGCCCTGCACGTCCGCTTGGCAGGGTAGCCAGGAGGCCTGCGATGTGCCAAGTTTCCCAGTTGGGCCGGGCCCCCGGGAGGCCCTGCTGGTGCTGGGACAGTGGGCCCTTGAGCGAGGCCGTGGGGGCTGCAGGGTTCCCACGAAGACAAAGAGCCCTGTGTGGGTCCGGACTCTTGGGCGCTGACCAGCTGCAGCTGGCTCACTGGCAAGAGCTGGGTGGGGGGTGTCACGGTCCCTCGGCCGACGACGCACAGGCCCCCCCCAGGCTAGACCCGGTCCCTCTGGCCACAGCAGAACCTAACGCCTCTTCTGAACCTGCAAAACCACCTCCTAGAATTGACCCACTACATCAGCACAGGTGACTCTCAGGACGGAATGCCAAGGACAAGGGACAGGAAAGCAAGGGCTTATATCCTCATTCTTATGACCCTCCTCAGGGTTCAAATCCCAGCTCTCCCCCTTGTCAGCCATGTGACCTCTGGCAAGTCACTTGATCTTTCTGTGCCTCAGTTTCTTCATCTGCAAAATAGGGTTGATGATGAACATAAGGGTACCTACTTCAAGGGGTTTTGCCAAGGATTAACTAAGTTAATACTTTTAAAGCATTGAGAATAGTATTTGAGTCAAATGTGTTTGTTAAATAAAACTCTCCAGCATCATTTGTATTAGGCTGGACTACATGAAATCACTATTTACTTTTTTGAGTTAGCAAAGATGCATATTAAAAAGCAGAGACATTACCTTGCCAACAAAGGTCCATCTGTCAAAGCTACGATTTTTCCAGTAGTCATGTATGGATGTGAGAGTTGGACTGTGAAGAAAGATGAGCACTGAAGAATTGATGCTTTTGAGCTAAGGTGTTGGAGAAGACTCTTGAGAGTCCCTTGGACTGCAAGGAGATCCAACTAGTCCACCCTAAAGGAAATCAGTCCTGAATAGTCATTGGAAGGACTGATGCTGAAGCTGAAACTCCAATACTTTGGCCACCTGATGTGAAGAACTGACTCATTTGAAAAGACCCTGATGCTGGGAAAGAATGAAGGTGGGAGGAGAGGGGGACGACAGAAGATGAGATGGTTGGATGGCATCACAGACTCAATGGACATGAGTTTGAGTAAGTTTGGGAGTTGGTGATGAACAGGAAAGCCTGGCGTGCTGCAGTCCATGGGGTCACAAAGAGTCAGACACGACTGAGCGACTGAACTGAAAGATGCATTAGTAAGAGTTCCAAAACAAGCCAATGGCCACCCAGAGAGAACCAGGAGGTAAATCACGGTCCACTGGCGCCATGCAGAATATGCAGCTGTTGGAAGGGAGGTGGGTGGGCGGGTCCGTGTGTGGGCATGTGCAGCAGCCCCTCAGACAGACACACAGACACGGGGCCGGAAGGGCGGGCGCCGGGCCAGGCGCTGGCATCGCCTCCCTGCATCATGTTTAGCACTCGCCCGTGACAGGGCGCCAGCCCCCTGCAGGCAGCGTCAGCTCACTGACTGGCTCAGGGAGGCCACTGCCATCTTTGGGAGAGCGGGGCATGGAGTGCCTTCCTCCTCTTCCTCCAGCCTCTCTCCTAGAAACCAGAGCCAGGCTGCCCTCCAGGGACCAGGCCCTCCTTCTCAGAAGAAGCCTCCTCTTCTGGGCCACCCTGATTTGGCACCTGAGTTCTTCAAACAAGTGCCAGACAGTGTGAAGGAGGGGGAGAGCGGGCAGGGGTGGCGGGACTCAGAGCTCCCTCTCCAAGTTCACTCTCACCTGAACTCTGAAAGTCTCATGCCCCTGCCTCCGGCGCTGCCTTCCCAACACTCCACGGGGACACGTGAGGGCCCGGGGAGGGGCAGCCTCCTGGGAAGAGAGGCTCTCGGGCCTGGGCTCCAGATGGGGCTGATTCTTGCCAGCGAGGCTTAGCTTTAGTCGCTCAGTCACGTCTGATCCTATGCGACCCTGTGGACTGTAGCCCACTGGGCTCCTCTGCCCCTGGGATTCTCCAGGCAAGAATACTGGCATGGGTTGCCATGCCCTCCTCCAGGGCATCTTCCCAACCTATGGATCAAACTCAAGTCTCCTGCATTGCAGGCAGATTCCTTACCATCTAAGCCCCCAGGGAAACCCAGTGGATCCCCAGTGACCTCCCACGCTCTCCCTGCCCCCTGTCATTCCCATTCAGGCGATCTGCCGGGGGGCATCCTGAGCAGGGGGCAGGGCAGTGCTGGGCTTCCTGCCTGGCCAGGCAGCCTCCCGTGTTAACCAGTTTTCTTCTCTGGGTCTCTGTTGACTCATCACTCTCACTTTGCTGGACTAGAGATATAATCACGGAAAAATACATTTGCCTTGAGAGAATTTCATAGGTTCAAAGCATCCTTTGCTCATGGCCTTTCTAGCCAAGCCGCACCCACCCAATCCCAAGATGCTGCAAACCCTGAGCTCCTGGAAAAGGCGTCTCCTGGAGGGTCCCTCTGCCCTGGGAACATGGAGAGGAGTGGGTGTGCCTTGGCTCACACCCTGTCACCAGGCAGCTGCCTCGTGAGGTTACTGAACTGGCCATCCTGACTCAGCCTCCAGTCCCATTCAGGGAGCTCCTGA